CCTGTTTATAGTTGACATTTATTAAAATCAGGCAAACAATAAGCTGATGTCAGGGAGAAAATGCCAGAAGGTACATTAATATTAAAGGATAGAAAAATTACTTTTTAAGTTTACTTTTTAGATTGAAGTCATAATCTATAAATAAAACTTAGTATAAATAAAATATCGGTTACAGTTTTATGTCCCTCTCTATGTTTTTGCTTAGAAAAACATAAATTTTATATTATTGATCCTTTACGCACACAAAATTCTAAACAATAAACAAATAAACTTGTTTACAGACGAATTAGTGGCTTTCTCTAGCCTAAATGTATGCTTTAAACTTTCAATATTTATGTTAAACTAAAAGTATACATTAGTTATGAGGGGAATAAAGGAGGAAAGCAATGGGTTTATTTAGTTGTAGTTAAAATGGCTACAGTAATTAAACCATTTCTTCATCAATCTAACAATCTAGAGAATATATCTCAATATTTCTTAATTTGTTTAAAGAAGTTGAGTAAAATTTAAGTTGTCATTTTTATTTTTTCTATTTGGGACCTTTAAAATATTTTCGTTTTTGTTTCTACTTGTCAAGAAGTGGAAAGCTTATTTGTCATTAGCCTTTTTTGGCTTGGGTTTGAGAGTATAAGGATGTGTGTTACAAAATGTACACACACTTATTCATTCATTCTTTCATTCACTTAAAATTCCTTTTTGTTTTGTGTTCGTATAATGAATAGAGCAGTAGTTTCTTTTGTTTTTTCATCTCTTTTTTTTTTGAACTTTAAGCTTAACTAAAAGTGTAGCATACTTTATGCTGTTAAAATGGATAAAAATCTAAAGTATACTTTAGGGTTGAGTAAATAAATATAAAAGTTTTTGTTTTGGTTATAAATTCTATGTTAGCATTAAAGTGGTTAGAACAGGGGAACATTTAAAACAAAAGCAAACTTTTTGTGTAATAATTTTTGAAAAATTACGAAATGTTAAAGAATTTTGTTGAAATTTAAGGTCTTAAGCTGAGTTTTTTAATTTTGCCGATTGCATTTTCGTACTCGTACTCTTAGTCGTAATCAAGAACTCATGAATTCTTCTTGACTTTGTACTCTTAGACAACATCCAGAACTCCCGGTTTCGTCTTGACTTTGTGTGGTATTGCCGATTTTATTTTATTCGTACTCTTAGTCGAAATCAAGAACTTTCGAATTCTTTTTGAATATGTTTGGTATAGCCGATTAAATAACATTCGTATTCATAGTCCAAATCAGGAACTTCCGAATTCTAATTAACCAAAAGCAACTTTCTTCGATTATCTTTCTAAAGAGGACTTTACCAGTTTTCAACGTCACCTCAGTACAACTCGATCAATTCCAGAATTTTAACTTTCTGACAAATCGGTATGAATAGAAAGCTTTACTATGAAACTTGTGTCCATCGATAAAGCTCATTTCTAGCTTAAAGAGTTTGTTAATAAATATTTAAGTATATTAAATTGGGCGAGATGTGGTTTCAAAAGGATGGAGCCTTGTGTCATATGGCGACTGAAATCATCGTTTGAATTAAAATAAAAAAAATGCCTATATTTAACTTGATGTCTCGAAATGAACCTGTCAATAGGCCTCTAAGGTCTTGCGACAAGAAGTCATTAGTTTATATGCTGATAAACCAGTAACAATTGAAGACAATTTCAGTGCTATTTGCGACATACGGTCAGCAATGTTCGATTAAGTTGGTCAAAATTTGACGTCCACAACGTCAACCTAATCTAGCCAGTTCGTCCGCAATCTCATTACCATGTACATTACAATGCCCCGGCACCCAACACAATCTAATGACAAACGGTCTAATAATGTCTCTAAGGGCATTTCTACAATTTACAACTAGGCGCGGATCTACCGTGTGACAAGCTAATGCTCTGAGAGCAGCTTGACGGATCGTTATGATTCTGTACCAGTTCTGTCGCTTTCCAGATGGGAAAGATCTATATTTTGATTAAAATTTACTTTTATGTTTTATATTTTACAATTTAAAGTTCTATCAGGCTTCAATTCAATATCTTTATATTGCCTACTTTTGGTGACATGTTTTCCTCACTTTTCACTGCCTACTTTAGGGAGCTCTTTATATACTATATCTTAATCTTTAAGCTAATTTAAACTATTAAATTTTATATTAATTTATCGCAATTATACATATTTTTAAAGCTTTTTTACGGTTGCGCAAGACTTTACTAAAATATTTTTTTTTTTTTATTTTCAATTTGTACTCAATTGTGGGATTAAGATAAAATTAAATAAATAAGAGCAGCAGCGCACAATACATTAGTTTAATTAACAGAATATAAAAATGACATTTGCAAATGTATACATATTGCAATTATTGACAACACAAAAACAATTTTAATTAAATTATAGCCATACGCCAGGAATAGTTTTTGTTTTTTGTTCACTTTAAATTAATTTTAATGGAGCAGTTAAAAATTGTACTAATTAATTAAGAGCAATTAAAATTTATTCATTAAATATTGCTGGTTGTTTTTTGTTTTTGTATAACTATGTATATATACATAAATATAAGTATTTATTTTAGAGAATTCTGTTAATTATTAATTTATTATTATTTTTGTATTTGTTTTTTTTTTTTTTTAAAGCTACATTTTATTTTAATTGTATTCATAAAATATTTATTAACAAAACATTATAAATAATAAGCCTAACATTATTAAGGGTATTCACAGTATGTTTTATATTGTATCGTATGAATCGTTACTATTAGTTATAACTAGTTGCTCTTTGCTTATGGTGAATACCCTTATAATACTTGCTATTTCATATTTTTTCAATTTTGCCCGTTTAACAAAATGTTTAAATATTAAATTTGTTGATCTGACTTTTTATATTGTTAAATTATTGATTTTTGTTTTAAATATTTAATGTTATATTTTGTTAGTTTTCCTTTATTTTACGGGATTTTTTGGCTTGTTTTATTATTTTAGTTTAATATTTTAAAACAAATTCCTTTTACCTTTTACAATATTTTCTATATATTTTGTCAGGGTCTTTTTTTTAAGTATTATAAGTTCTTATAGTTATTAACCCTTTAGTGGCTTAGGGATTTATTTAGTTTTTGGTTTAGAGAAAGAATAGGAACTTGATAGGAGTTAAAAACATGTTAAGTGGTCCTTCGAACCATACGGAAATTGAGTTTTATGTTTTTCTCATGTAAAATTATCCCAGATCTTGTTGATTGCTTTAGGTAAAAATATATCGAAAAAATCGATGGAATAGACTTTCAGATGACAAGAAAAGAATGAACTAGAACTGAACTAGAACTGAACTAGAACTGAACTAGAACTGAACTAGAACTGAACTAAAACTGAACTAGAACTGAACTAGAACTGAACTAGAACTGAACTAGAACTGAACTAGAACTGAACTAGAACTGAACTAGAACTGAACTAGAACTGAACTAGAACTGAACTAGAACTGAACTAGAACTGAACTAGAACTGAACTAGAACTGAACTAGAACTGAACTAGAACTGAACTAGAACTGAACTAGAACTGAACTAGAACTGAAACTAGAACTGAACTAGAACTGAACTAGAACTGAACTAGAACTGAACTAGAACTGAACTAGAACTGAACTAGAACTGAACTAGAACTGAACTAGAACTGAACTAGAACTGAACTAGAACTGAACTAGAACTGAACTAGAACTGAACTAGAACTGAACTAGAACTGAACTAGAACTGAACTAGAACTGACACTAGAACTGAACTAGAACTGAACTAGAACTGAACTAGAACTGAACTAGAACTGAACTAGAACTGAACTAGAACTGAACTAGAACTGAACTAGAATTGAACTAGAATTGAACTAGAACTGAACTAGAACTTGAACTGAACTAGAACTGAACTAGACCTGAACTTTGAACCTAATTTTCACTTTTTTAATTAAAATATAGATTTTTCGTATAAAATTCGAATTTTCACTAAAAATCGGAAATATCACAAAAAATTTGGATTTTGACTAAAAATTTTATTTTTCATTAAAAATTCGATTTTTCACTAAAAATTCGATATTTTACACAAAATACGATTTTAATAGAATATCACGAAAATAAATACTAATGCTCAGCCTATATTCTAGTCTAAAAATATTGACGTTTTAATGTTTAGACATAATAACCGATTTCCTAACAAAGAGTTCTAACTTAATCTATATAATTAAAATTATAGTGTTTGTTCTGAACTACGGCACCAGATGGGAGAAAATTTGACATTTGTGTTCCAGGGATCGTGAATGTTCCTGTTAACTTTTTAATTTGTCGGATAGAGTGCGTTGAAGTCAATTTCCTGTCAATTACAGCTAAATCTCTAATCCGAATGATTTTAAAATTAATTTAAACTGGAGAAAAATATAGGCCAATAGTTGGAACGATAACATGGACCACGTACAGCTAGTTAAGCTATAAAAGCGAGGAAAATATTATAGTTCATAATGAAAAGAAATCTTTGGGTCAGATGGTCCTTCCAACAATATTGGATTACTGAATAGTTAAAAATAAAAGCATACTTTTAGGCTAAAATTTAAGGAATAGTTAAATGCGTTCTAGTATAAACCATGCCACCGTTAAAGGGTTAATTTTAAATACTATACTTTTTGTTATTACATTTTTGTTTCATGTTTTTGTTAGTTGTGTGGTTATTTCAATTCACTTTCATGTTTATTTTTATTACATAGTTGTTGTTATAGTTATTTTTTCATTTGTTATTTCTTTTCAGTTGATGTGTTGTTGTTGCGGTTGATGTTATTGCGGAGCTGTTGCTTATTTTGGTAAGTTACTATTTGTTATTTTTTACTATTACAGTTCTTGTGTTTTTCTTTATTTTCTTATTTTTATGTTTGCAAATTGTTGCAAAATTTCAATTCATTGCATATTTTTAGGTGCATTGTTTTGTTTTTGTGAGTTTTTTTCTAGTTTTGTTTTTATTATTCACAACCATGTTTGTTTTTTTTTCAAAGTTTTTTTTTATAGTTTTTCTTTTATTATTGGAAAAGTTGTTTAGCATTTAGTAGTTGTAACATTTCAAAACTATTACTTTTAGTTGTTGCAAATTTGATTAAGTTGTTATTTGGTATGATTTGATTATGTTTCCGTTTCCGTTTAGGTTGTAACTGCTGTTTAAGTTTTTAGCACTTTTTTTATTATTGTTTTTTGTTTTGTTTTCTTATATGTATTTGTTATAACACAAATTATTTATAAGGGAATATATTTAGTTGCTTTCGTTTTACTCACACATCATTCATTCATTACACAAACAAATAGACATTTTGAAAAATTTATTGCTGTTGATTATCACCACCATTACCCAGGCCAGCTTTCGTTTCCGGTGGTACCTGTTTGTAGATATGAAAAAAAAAGAAATAAAAATAAAATTTATGTTTGTTTAAAAAAAGTCCACAATTTGTTATAAACATTTTGTAAGTTTCTTGAAAAATAACGCTATAACAAAAAAATCAGGCATTTTATTTATATTCATATATATCAACAACAACATTAAGAATTTATTTTTGTTAAAAAAAAACAAAATTACAAATGTTTCTTTTTTTATTATTTTCATAATAAAAATGTCTGTTACGTTTTTTTATGTTTGTATAATGATAACAGTAATAATCATAAAAGTAATCATTAAAAGTAAAAGAAAGTAAGAGCGAGCGCGAGTGTGTTATAAAATAAAACAAGCATAATTTTAGGCATTGTGACATTTAGATTTAAATAAATATTATTAGTATGTGTTTGTTTTTTATTTATATACTAAAGAAATTATTATTTTTTTATAAGATGCTGGTATTACAGTTTAAAGCACATTTATTTCCTCCTTTTAATTTAAAAAAAAAGAAAAAAGTTTTAAAGCTTAAGTTTAAAGCTTAAAGTATTAGTTTGTTTTTGTTATATATATTTAGAAGCATTATTTTTTTAAATAGAACAAAAGCATTATCTGTTTTAAAGGATGCCATTTAAAAAAAGTTAATTACAGAACAAAGTTTTGAGGAATATTAATTTGTGTGTTAATAATTCTGTTCAAACGTTAAATTTAAAATTGAATCTAAGGATTCACCTATTAGCCTGATTTACAGGCGGGTAAACAGAAATAAAAAGAAAAAAATATTATCGGATTGGCAGCCTTGTGGTTTCATTCTTTTCATCGTGCACCAGAACTGTACTAGAACCGATGTAAAATTTAACTAAAACTAGAACTGAACTAGAACTGAACTAGAACTGAACTAGAACTGAACTAGAACTGAACTAGATCTGAACTAGAACTGAACTAGAATGAACTAGAACTAAACTGGAACTGAACTAGAACTCAACTAGGACTGAACTAGAACTGAACCAGAATTGAACTAGAACTGAACTAGAACTGAACTAGAACTGAACTAGAACTGAACTAGAACTGAACTAGAACTGAACTAGAACTGAACTAGAACTGAACTAGAACTGAACTAGAACTGAACTAGAACTGAACTAGAACTGAACTAGAACTGAACTAGAACTGAACTAGAACTGAACTAGAACTGAACTAGAACTGAACTAGAAACTGAACAGAACTGAACTAGAACTGAACTAGAACAGAACTAGAACAGAACTAAAACTGAACTAGAACTGAACTAGAACTGAACTAGAACTGAACTAGAACTGAACTAGAACTGAACTAGAACTGAACTGGAACTGAACTGAACTAATGAACTAGAACTGAACTAGAACTGAACTAGAACTGAACTAGAACTGAACTAGAACTGAACTAGAACTGAACTAGAACTGAACTAGAACTGAACTAGAACTGAACTAGAACTGAACTAGAACTGAACTAGAACTGAACTAGAACTGAACTAGAACTGAACTAGAACTGAACTAGAACTGAACTAGAACTGAACTAGAACTGAACTAGAACTGAACTAGAACTGAACTAGAACTGAACTAGAACTGAACTAGAACAGAACTAGAACAGAACTAGAACAGAACTAAAACTGAACTAGAACTGAACTAGAACTGAACTAGAACTGAACTAGAACTGAACTAGAACTGAACTAGAACTGAACTAGAACTGAACTGGAACTGGAACTGAACTGAACTAGAACTGAACTAGAACTGAACTAGAACTGAACTAGAACTGAACTAGAACTGAACTAGAACTGAACTAGAACTGAACTAGAACTGAACTAGAACTGAACTAGAACTGAACTAGAACTGAACTAGAACTGAACTAGAACTGAAATAGAACTGCATTTCTACAGCTATTGTAAGGATTTCGACATTTCATGCTAGTTCGGCATCTTATTAAAAATGTTCGGTATTCGAAGGTGTCAGATGAACGTAGATCCATATATATTTGAATATCATTTCAATGTACACAATTAATTCAATTCTATTGTTTCTCAAAAATACATTCAGAGATGAGATTTTACATCAAACAGAAATGAAAATGAGTTATCCTGGATGGTAGAGGAGAGTTTTATTTTCTAGAAATTTATTCTGCAACGGAATACCTACTAATTAAAATGTTAATTGAATTCGAATACGCATCCGCAGTTAATTTAATTAGTAGCTTAAGCTTATTTATTTTAGTTAACATTTTAAAAAACACTTATTTAAAAACACTTAAAGAATAAAAATCATATATGTAAAACATACACACACATCAAAACAACATCGAAAAAATTTACATTTTTGTAATCTTTTTGTAAATTGTATAAAAAATATTCACACTGGTACCTTTGGAACGATGTTTAAATCGTTTATATAGTTTTTGGCTTTTTTATTTTATTTTCTAATTTAAATTTACATTTCGTTATTTTTTTTGGTTTCATTTCATTTTGTATGATTGATTGAGATTTTTTATTTTTCTTTCATTGTTCATGGTAATTTTTTTTGGCATTAATTTATGTATAAAAGCTATGAAAGTCCAAAAAATCCGAATAATCGGTTTGATTAGCCTGCTGTTGGTCAAGCTATAAAACAAACAGAAAAATGTAGATGGCGGTAGTGGTAAAATGTTGAGTAAAACGTTTACGTTAACAAAATTTTTTTGGTTTTTCACATGATGTCGTGTTGTTTGTTATTATTTTTATATTAATTTTGATTTTAATTAATTAGAATTAAGTGAAAGAAAGTTAAGTGAGTTGAGAGAAAAAACAAAAGAATAATTTGAAAAAACTTATAATTATATGAAATGTTTACAATATTTACTTTATATGTATAAGTTTAGTATTGAATTAATGAAGAAATTATTAAAGAAAGTAACTAGTTTATGTATTAGACTTAAAATATTATTGTTTAAAGTATTTACTTTATTATGTTTAAAACAAAAGAATATGGGAAAAGGATGTTTAAAAATTTTTTTTTGGAATACATACCAATTTCTTAAAACAATCATCAAAGAAGGCGGTCATAGAACGATATAAATGCCTTTTTACACCCGATAATTGATGACCCTCATCGGGGTATATTTGTTGTTTGTATAGTACACCTTTATTAGTTAAGGCTCTGGATAGAACCATAGATTGCTGTAGATGTACATTATCATCTGCAGTACCATGAATCAATAGGAATTGTTTATCTCTTAGGTTGTCTACATATTTGGAGAGATCACCCTCTTCGTAGCCTTTATAATTGTCGGTTACATTAGGAAAACTTAAATAGCGTTCAGCATAAGTGGAATCTAAAAGAGAGGAAACAAAAGAGTGTATTTTATGTGACTAAATCAAGAACCTGGAGTTCTGTCATCAGCCTGTTTAAAAGGCGGGTAAACAGAAATAAAAAGAAAAAAATAAATCACTTACCATATAATTTCCAATTCGTTACCGGACTAACACTTATGCCGCACTGGAATATCGACTGAGCGCCAGCCAAAGCCAAGGCGGCCGTATAACCACCATAACTCCAACCCCAAACACCCATGCGACGATTATCGATAAAATGTAAATTATCACGTAAATATTCGCTAACTTCCAATTGATCCGAAACTTCAACTGTACCCAGTCTTTTATAAACCTCATGCAATAGTTGATAACCCTGACCCGACGAACCACGTCCATCAATTTCGATTACAATATAATCTTTATTACCCGACAAATAAGTATTCCAATCAACATGCCATTTATCGGTAACCAATTGAGTGCCAGGACCCGAATATACATGTAATATAGTGGGATAACGGGTTATTTCATCTTCTCTTAAGACGGGCGGTAAATAGAGCTTAACTTGAGCATGATAGCCACCGGAAATCATAACGGGAAATGTTTTCACCTGAGGCATAGCCGTCTTGGACATTTTCTCCTTTAGACGTGTGTTATTCTGTATAACCATAAGCAGTTCTAAGGGTAAATGATGTTTTTCAATGCCATTTGCTGTACGTTCTTTTTCCACACCATTGACTATATAAATACTAGAAGTGGGTATGGCAGGGCCCAAGCACTCGATTAGCACAAATCTAGCATGTAAACTAGGTGGAAATTTGGCGGTATTATATAGACATTCATCGGAGTCTTCAGAAATTTTCGATTCTCTTGGATGTTTTTGTTCCAAAGGTAATGCTGGTCCCGCCACCGCTGGAGCATCATCCGAATTTTCCCAATCATCATCCCAGGCGGTAACCAGTTTAGGTGGTGGTTTGGTGTGAGCCTCATAGGCATAAGTGCCATCACTGTTTTTGGGTATGGGGCAAGTTAAACAATCTGGAGCATATATGGGTGAACCATGACGTGGCGGTAAAGCTGATACTCTATACAAATGCTGCTGGGAAGGCAAACGTTCGGGTACGCCCAAAAAGTAGCTAAAATTTGAACAAAATTTATAAATACAACGAAATCTTAAACTATTCCTTATTCTCATACTAACATCCAATTATTCTCTTGATCCCAGTGCAACAACTCTTTCACCTCATATTGACCATGAGTCAGTGGCAAGACCCTTTTCTTGGCCACATGTACGTGAACTATATGACGAAAATAGCCTGAACTGCCATCACGCAAAGGCGATATTGAGATATAAGAAGTACCATTGGCAGCAAATAACGGCACCGTTAATGTATCCACCCAACCGCGACCATCACCACTAACACGATGGGTCTGTTATTTTTTATAATGCCAAGCATAAACTTATTTGTATCTCTATTTATTAAATATTCCATTCTTAATAACTTACCTCAACACATACAAACATAGGCGCTTTGCATACGCTAACCACAGAAATATTTTGCGGTCTATTTAACCAGACCACGCTAACTTCATTTTCACTTACCCAACTGGCGCTGGTAATATAATAATCTCTGTAATATGGCGGAATAAAGAAAATGTAAAGTATATTTATTTTTTGTTAGTTAATGGGCTGCAAATGGAATTGTTGTTAAGGCAAGGAAATCTTTTATGAGTAACTTACTCGTTTTGTAGGACTTGCGGTGGTTGCACATCACGCGTATGTATTCTTTCGGCATTCTTTAGGTCTACAACACGTAGTGTTACAGTGGGATTTTGTGTGCCCGGTTTTGGATATCTGTAAGAAGATACAAGAGTTTATAGTCTAGTCTATATTTTAGCTTGTAGTCTAGTCTAGCTAATACATAGTATAGACTATGGTATAGTCTAGTCTCTAGCCTATTGAACAGTCTATAGCCAGGACTATTGTATAGTATATAGTCCAGCCTATAGTCAAGTCTATAGTCTAATCTGCAGTCTAGAGTAGTACTTAATACTTAGCAGTTACAGTCACGTTTAAAAATTATTACTTGACAGACTTTGTTGCTAAGGATTCTTATTATTTTAAGTACCTTTTTTATGGCAACATTTAATCATCAAATACAATTAACGACAAAAGACTAACATTAAAATTTACAAGGACTTTTCTATGTGTCCTTGTTAAAACACGACATTTTTTGTAAATTCAGTTTTATATTTATCACAAAATCTCATATATCCCAGTACAATCTACTAACAAAAAAACGACAAACTTCTTAATGAATTTTTAATGAACTTCCTTTAAAAATTATGTGTATGTATTCAGTGCTATAAACTATAAATGACACGACAACTACGTCTTTTTTTCTAACTCACCTTAATGACCTTATTTCCGGATACAAATTAGCATTTGGATGATGGCCAGCATTAGGATTTCCAGCATTTGTTGTACCATACCAAGCGAAATGTTGTTCTTGCACTAATGAATCATTGAATGAAGCATATAACATGGTACGACCATCATGTGAAAGCCATATTGCATTATTTGCATTTAAAATTTCCTCTATAAATAAAAAGTGGCATAATGAAATAGAAAGTAATAAAAACGAATCACATTAAAATTGTAAATAATCATAAGGAGGTCGGACAGTAGTATGTATTAAGTAAGTACCTCCTAATAACATTTAAGGAAAATAATAATAATGTTGACAAATATATCCGAGTGAAGTCGAGTCAAGCCTGCTTGATGTGTGTGACAAAGGAAATTCAATTTGAAAGCAATTTTTTCAGACAAATACATATATCAACGACTACTGTGAGTGTAGCAGGAGGTTAGGTTGAAAAGACATTTAGAGCAGAACTAGAACAAAATTAGAACAGGACTAGAACAGAACTAGAACAGAACTATAACAGAACTAGAACAGAACTAGAACAGAACTAGAACAGAACTAGAACAGAACTAGAACAGAACTAGAACAGAACTAGAACAGAACTAGAACAGAACTAGAACAGAACTAGAACAGAACTAGAACAGAACTAGAACAGAACTAGAACAGAACTAGAACAGAACTAGAACAGAACTAGAACAGAACTAGAACAGAACTAGAACAGAACTAGAACAGAACTAGAACAGAACTAGAACAGAACTAGAACAGAACTAGAACAGAACTAGAACAGAACTAGAACAGAACTAGAACAGAACTAGAACAGAACTAGAACAGAACTAGAACAGAACTAGAACTAGAACAGAACTAGAACAGAACTAGAACAGAACTAGAACAGAACTAGAACAGAACTAGAACAGAACTAGAACAGAACTAGAACAGAACTAGAACAGAACTAGAACAGAACTAGAACAGAACTAGAACAGAACTAGAACAGAACTAGAACAGAACTAGAACAGAACTAGAACAGAACTAGAACAGAACTAGAACAGAACTAGAACAGAACTAGAACAGAACTAGAACAGAACTAGAACAGAACTAGAACAGAACTAGAACAGAACTAGAACAGAACTAGAACAGAACTAGAACAGAACTGAACTAGAACAGAACTAGAACAGAACTAGAACAGAACTAGAACAGAACTAGAACAGAACTAGAACAGAACTAGAACAGAACTAGAATAGAACTAGATCAGAACTAGAATAGAACTAGAACAGAACTAGAGCAAAACTAGAACAGAACTAGAACTGAACTGGAACTAGAACAGAACTCGAAAAGAACTAGAACAGAGTTCGAATAGAACTAGAACAGAAGTAGAACAGAAGTAGAACAGAAGTAGAACAGAACTAGAACAGAACTAGAACAGAACTAGAACATTACTAGAACAGAACTAGAACAGAACTAGAACAGAACTAGAACAGAACTAGAACAGAACTAGAACAGAACTAGAACAGAACTAGAACAGAACTAGAACAGAACTAGAGCAGAACTAGAGCAGAACTAGAACAGAGCTAGAACAGAACTAGAACAGAACTAGAACAGAACTAGAACAGAACTAGAACAGAACTAGAACAGAACTAGAACAGAACTAGAACAGAAGTAGAACAGAACTAGAACTAGAACAGAACTAGAACAGAACTAGAATAGGACTAGATCAGAACTAGATCAGAACTAGAATAGAACAGAACTAGAACAGAACTAGAACAGAACTAGAACAGAACTAGAACAGAACTAGAACAGAACAGAACTAGAATAGAACTAGATCAGAACTAGAATAGAACTAGAACAGAACTAGAGCAAAACTAGAACAGAACTAGAACTAGAACTGAACTGGAACTAGAACAGAACTCGAAAAGAACTAGAACATAGTTCGAATAGAACTAGATAAGAGTTCGAATAGAACTAAGTTATTTTTATTATTTAAACAACTTTTCCTACTGACCTCCCACACTCGAATAAATAAAAAATCTTGCACTCACAAATGACACAACTAATAGTCATTTTGTCATTCAATAGTATTTATAGTGCTTGTTATAAACTAAACATTTACACTCATACATACTAGCAAGCAGCTCCTCTAGCTGTGCTTTAACTAACTCACTCAACTTACCTTCATATAACCAATCAGGTATTCCATTAAAGATAACACCAGGTATGGCATCACTCGTTATACGATGTACAGGTTTAGAATGCACCTCCTGGCAGTAATAGATGTCGTAATTGTAGACTAAAACGAGGGCATGTGAGGCGGGTGTAAAATGTGCATAATGCAAATACGGCCATTCATTGTCGCTGGCATCGATTTTCAATTTAATACTTTCACTGTTTAAAAAAACCAAAATCATCGTCATCATCATGAATACAGCCAACACATTGTAGATATGCCGGTGGTTTTGAAAAATGCAATAGACACCATCACAAGCAGGATAAAAGAAAATGCAGGAAAATTGAAAAAAAGAATAAAAGAAATAAATATATGTATATTCAATATTTAATGTAACGTAATGCAGTTAGTTTAATATAATATTCCTGAGGTGATTTCTCTGGGTTTACAAAGTGTGAAATTGCATAGTAAAGAGGAGAAAGAGCAAGTATGGAGAAAGTCAATTTTAGGTTAATTTGTAATCTGAGATAATACTAATCCAGTTTTTATCAGATTAATTCATTTAACACTTCATAACCAAGTTTTAACTGATCAATTTCAACTCTCCTTTTTCTATCTCTCTCACACTTTAAAATGCATACACATTAAGAACTAAGTATAGCCTACTTTCGCGCGCTCTAGCTTACCTAGTTTGAATGTCAAACAATGTATATTGTGCCAAAAACGAATAACGGAACAATTTGATAACGTTTTGTGACAATAATAAAAAACGTTTATCCGCTGATATGGAAAATGTATACGGTGACAATGTTTTCTATATAAAAAAGAGAAAATATTTAAGAAAATCCATCATATATTCAAAAAATTAACGTCATATATTTAATGCAATTAATTTAAAGTTTGTAATAAATGACAGCCATATTTAATAACTACATATTTAAATAATAACTATAGCAAAAAAAACGTAAATATAATATTAATAAATGTTACAATTAAACCATAACAGTGAATGAATGAACTGACGGCAGAGACAGAGAGAGAGACATGGCAGGACATGAAAAGGAATTAATAAATTGTACAACATGTGTTACATACAATTATGATATGCCATGGTTTCTGATGTTAAAGAATAATTTGTTATTATATACATACGTGGTTATAACAAAACGATAAATTGCTTTTGACTGCTTTTCCCTATTTTCCTCCTTTTTTATGGTGTGGGGAGGGTGAAGTGTTTATGTGTGTTTGTGTTGTGCAACAAGGATTACATGTGTTTACAATGCGGTTAAGAAGGATATTTTCATAATAAAATATATGTATATGATTAAGGGAAATAATTGCAATAAAAACTATTAAGTCAATGTAGTATGAAAATAGCAATATAATTGTATTTAATTGTGTTATATACATATGTTATTTAATAAGGATGGGATATTTTAATAATTTAAGCTCTCAATTTTAAATGGCAAAGTTCCTGGGAAATCACCTAAGGGTGTTATTCTATACTAGTACTGTTCTAGTTCTGCTCTAGTTGTTTTTAGTGGTGTTGTAGTTGTGTTCTAGCTGTGTTCTAGTTGTATTCTAGTTGTGTTCTAGTTGTGTTCTAGTTGTGTTCTAGTTGTGTTCTAGTTGTGTCTAGATGTGTCTAGATGTGTTCTAGTTGTGTACTAGTTGTGTTCTAGTTATGTTTTAGTTAAGCTCTAGTTGTGTTCTAGTTCTGTTCTAGTTGTGTTCTAGTTTTGTTCCAGTTCTGTTCTAGTTCTGTTCCAGTTCTATTCTAGTTCTGTTCCAGTTCTTTTATAGTTTTGTTGTAATTTTGATGTGTTCTAGTTGTATTTTAGTGTGTTCTAGTTCTGTTCTAGTTCTGTTCTAGTTCTGTTCTAGTTCTGTTCTAGTTCTGTTCTAGTTCTGTTCTAGTTCTGTCTAGTTCTGTTCTAGTTCTGTTCTAGTTCTGTTCTAGTTCTGTTCTAGTTCTGTTCTAGTTCTGTTCTAGTTCTGTTCTAGTTCTGTTCTAGTTCTGTTCTAGTTCTGTTCTAGTTCTGTTCTAGTTCTGTTCTAGTTCTGTTCTAGTTCTGTTTCTAGTTCTGTTCTAGTTCTGTTCTAGTTCTGTTCTAGTTCTGTTCTAGTTTCTGTTCTAGTTCTGTTCTAGTTCTGTTCTAGTTCTGTTCTAGTTCTGTTCTAGTTCTGTCTAGTTCTGTTCTAGTTCTGTTCTAGTTCTGTTCTAGTTTCTGTTCTAGTTCTGTTCTAGTCTGTTCTAGTTCTGTTCTAGTTCTGTTTCTAGTTCTGTTCTATCTGTTCTAGTTCTGTTCTTTTCTGTTCTAGTTCTGTTCTAGTTCTGTTCTAGTTCTGTTCTAGTTAGTTCTGTTCTAGTTTCTGTTCTAGTTCTAGTTCTGTTCTAGTTCTGTTCTAGTTCTGTTCTAGTTCTGTTCTAGTTCTGTTCTAGTTCTGTCTAGTTCTGTTCTAGTCTGTTCTGTTCTAGTTCTGTTCTAGTTCTGTTCTAGTTCTGTTCTAGTTCTGTTCTAGTTCTGTTCTAGTTCTGTTCTAGTTCTGTTCTAGTTCTGTTCTAGTTCTGTTCTAGTTCTGTTCTAGTTCTGTTCTAGTTCTGTTCTAGTTCTGTTCTAGTTCTGTTCTAGTTCTGTTCTAGTTCTGTTCTAGTTCTGTTCTAGTTCTGTTCTAGTTCTGTTCTAGTTCTGTTCTAGTTCTGTTCTAGTTCTGTTCTAGTTCTGTTCTAGTTCTGTTCTAGTTCTGTTCTAGTTCTGTTCTAGTTCTGTTCTAGTTCTGTTCTAGTTCTGTTCTAGTTCTGTTCTAGTTCTGTTCTAGTTCTGTTCTAGTTCTGTTCTAGTTCTGTTCTAGTTCTGTTCTAGTTCTGTTCTAGTTCTGTTCTAGTTCTGTTCTAGTTCTGTTCTAGTTCTGTTCTAGTTCTGTTCTAGTTCTGTTCTAGTTCTGTTCTAGTTCTGTTCTAGTTCTGTTCTACGTTCTGTTCTATTCTGTTCTAGTTCTTCAGTTTCTGTTCTAGTTGCTGTTCTAAGTTCTTCTAGTTCTGTTCTAGTTCTGTTCTAGTTCTGTTATGTTCTGTTCTAGTTCTGTTCTAGTTCTGTGCTTAGTTCTGTTCTATGTCTGTTCTAGTGCTGTTCTAGTTCTGTTCTAGTTCTGTTCTAGTTCTGTTCTAGTTCTGTTCTAGTTCTGTTCTAGTTCCGTTCTATTCGGTTCTAGTTCTGTTCTAGTTCTGTTCTTAGTTCCTGTTCTAGTTCTGTTCTAGTTCTGTTCCTAGTTCTGTTCTAGTTCCTGTTCTAGTTCTGCTTCTAGTTCTGTTCTAGTTCTGTTCTAGTTCTGTTCTAGTTCGGTTCTAGTTCTGTTCTAGTTCTGTTCTAGTTCTGTTCTAGTTCTGTTCCTAGTTCTGTTCTAGTTCTGTTCTAGTTCTGTTCTAGTGCTAGTTCTAGTTCTGTTCTAGTTTCTTGTTCTAGTTCTGTTCTAGTTCTGTTCTAGTTCCTGTTCTAGTTCTGTGTCTAGTTCTGTTCTAGTTTCTGTTCTAGTTCTGTTCTAGTTCTGGTTCTAGTTTCTAGTTCTAGTTCTGTTCTAGTTCTGTTCTAGTTCTGTTCTAGTTCTGTTCTAGTTCTGTTCTAGTTCTGTTCTAGTTCTGTTCTAGTTCTGTTCTAGTTCTGTTCTAGTTCTGTTCTAGTTCTGTTCTAGTTCTGTTCTAGTTCTGTTCTAGTTCTGTTCTAGTTCTGTTCTAGTTCTGTTCTAGTTCTGTTCTAGTTCTGTTCTAGTTCTGTTCTAGTTCTAGTTCTGTTCTAGTTCTGTTCTAGTTCTGTTCTAGTTCTGTTCTAGTTCTGTTCTAGTTCTGTTCTAGTTCTGTTCTAGTTCTGTTCTAGTTCTGTTCTAGTTCTGTTCTAGTTCTGTTCTAGTTCTGTTCTAGTTCTGTTCTAGTTCTGTTCTAGTTCTGTTCTAGTTCTGTTCTAGTTCTGTTCTAGTTCTGTTCTAGTTCTGTTCTAGTTCTGTTCTAGTTCTGTTCTAGTTCTGTCTAGTTCTGTTCTAGTTCTAGTTCTGTTCTAGTTCTAGTTCTGTTCTAGTTCTAGTTCTGTTCTAGTTCTGTTCTAGTTCTGTTCTAGTTCTGTTCTAGTTCTGTTCTAGTTCTGTTCTAGTTCTGTTCTAGTTCTGTTCTAGTTCTGTTCTAGTTCTGTTCTAGTTCTGTTCTAGTTCTAGTTCTGTTTTAGTTCTGTTCTAGTTCTGTTCTAGTTCTAGTTCTGTCCTAGTTCTGTTCTAGTTCTGTTCTAGTTCTGTTCTTGTTCTGTTCTAGTTCTGTTCTAGTTCTGTTCTAGTTCTGTTCTAGTTCTGTTCTAGTTCTGTTCTAGTTCTGTTCTAGTTCTGTTCTAGTTCTGTTCTAGTTCTGTTCTAGTTCTGTTCTAGTTCTGTTCTAGTTCTGTTCTAGTTCTGTTCTAGTTCTGTTCTAGTTCTGTTCTAGTTCTGTTCTAGTTCTAGTTCTGTTCTAGTTCTGTTCTAGTTTGTTCTAGTTCTGTTCTAGTTCTGTTCTAGTTCTGTTCTAGTTCTGTTCTAGATCTGTTCTAGTTCTGTTCTAGTTCTGTTCTAGTTCTGTTCTAGTTCTGTTCTAGTTCTGTTCTATTTCTGTTCTAGTTCCTGTCTAGTTCTGTTCTAGTTCTGTTCTAGTTCTGTTCTAGTTCTGTTCTAGTTCTGTTCTAGTTCTGTTCTAGTTCTGTTCTAGTTCTGTTCTAGTTCTGTTCTGTTCTAGTTCTGTTCTAGTTCTGTTCTAGTTCTGTACTAGTTCTGTTCTAGTTCTGTTCTAGTTCTGTTCTAGTTCTGTTCTAGTTCTGTTCTAGTTCTGTTCTAGTTCTGTTCTAGTTCTGTTCTAGTTCTGTTCTAGTTCTGTTCTAGTTCTGTTCTAGTTCTGTTCTAGTTCTGTTCTAGTTCTGTTCTAGTTCTGTTCTAGTTCTGTTCTAGTTCTGTTCTAGTTCTGTTCTAGTTCTGTTCTAGTTCTGTTCTAGTTTCTGTTCTAGTTCTGTTCTAGTTCTGTTCTAGTTCTGTTCTAGTTCTGTTCTAGTTCTGTTCTAGTTCTGTTCTAGTTCTGTTGTAGTTCTGTTCTAGTTATGTTCTAGTTCTGTTCTAGTTCTGTTCTATTCTCTTCTGATTCATTTCTTTTCCTGAAAATGTCTGTCACCACATATTTACTTCATGTTCTCCGAAGCGTATGATTAATATTAACTTTTCATTAATTTGAAAAACATTAAATTCCTATCGTTAATTTCAAAATAGACTATGTTGATCTGTAACTGAAATACAATGTATTGAGCTAACAATTTTTTATAATTTATGTAATTTTCTAATGTTTGTTATCCTCGACGTATGCTTTTTTCATAAAATTTTTATTTAATTTATGTTTTTTTTAGAATTTGTATAGAAAATTAAATTCAATTGTTTGTGTACGAAAATAAATTCTTTTTCAATGACAAGCTGACATTGTTAGCAAAATTTCTAACAATTTCATTGATAACAAATTAAACTATAAATTGTATGCAGAGAGAAAATAAAAAACATTTCGTCCTTTGTTATTCAAATGATTTATTAGATTTGAAATATTTGTAAAAATACTAAGAACGACTGAAGATTATATTAAAAAAAGCAAATAAATATTAAATGATGGTCAAGTAATAAGAGCTCTTTCAGCCCTATCTCCCCATTGGGATTAAATATGAAAAAATATGTTCAACAAGGATTATTAAAGACGTTAAAGTTGAAGAGGGTGGTGTGCTCATTACAAAAAGTATAAAATTTGAATATTGTTGTAAAAGAGGATTATTAATGCAAAGGTAGTTGATATTTTTTTTAAAAAAGTTAAATAATTCAATTAACAATAAAAACAAGTTTTATTAAAAAAAATTGCACAAAGAAAAAACGTTTTTGCTTGTTAAAATATTTACTGATAAAATATGACTAACAAACAGTGGAAAAGTAAACGGAAGAGGGAAAGGTTGGACGTATAACAACGACATAAATAATAACGGACCAAATCAAATGTTAAGTCAAGTATAAACACTCGAGATAAAGTCTGTCTGCCCCAGACAATACAAATACACAGAAAACAAAATTAAAAACAAATACAAACGAATGAAAGGAATCACAAACAAGGAATGTTAAGAAATAAACGAGGGGTGGCTAGAAAACTAAATTCCCTTAAATTAAATCTAATACTTAAGCAATGACCATAAATAAAACTTAGTACTTAAAGAAAGAGCAAAATATATTAAAAGGATAAACAGATAAATATCTAAAATGTTCAAAAGCATATAAAGATAAAAATAATAAAATATAAAGAGGAAATGCTAAACAAGAAGTATGAATACTTTAAGAACAAACTTACAAATGTAACATTTGACATTAAGACACGTTCAGTTAGATTGGCAACATTCAAAAGACAAATGCGTCCCCAATGATCTTGATAAAGGAATTCTTCTTCTGTAAATAGAAAAATGAACATAAAAAAAAGAAAATATATTTATTAAATGCACATAAACTTCATAAACAAAATGGAATTTAATTATCTAGAAGATGGATTGTGTAGAAAAATACTTAAAGTTTTAATAAATAAGTTTATAAAATATAGTCTATAGTCTAGTCTATAGTCTAGTCTATAGTCTAGTCTATAGTCTAGTCTATAGTCTAGTCTATAGTCTAGTCTATAGTCTAGTCTATAGTTAGTCTATAGTCTAGTCTATAGTCTAGTCTATAGTCTAGTCTATAGTCTAGTCTATAGTCTAGTCTATAGTCTAGTCTATAGTCTAGTCTATAGTCTAGTCTATAGTCTAGTCTATAGTCTAGTCTATAGTCTAGTCTATAGTCTAGTCTATAGTCTAGTCTATAGTCTAGTCTATAGTCTAGTCTATAGTCTAGTCTATAGTCTAGTCTATAGTCTAGTCTATAGTCTAGTCTATAGTCTAGTCTATAGTCTAGTCTATAGTCTAGTCTATAGTCTAGTCTATAGTCTAGTCTATAGTCTAGTCTATAGTCTAGTCTATAGTCTAGTCTATAGTCTAGTCTATAGTCTAGTCTATAGTCTAGTCTATAGTCTAGTCTATAGTCTAGTCTATAGTCTAGTCTATAGTCTAGTCTATAGTCTAGTCTATAGTCTAGTCTATAGTCTAGTCTATAGTCTAGTCTATAGTCTAGTTGTCTAGTCTAGTCTATAGTCTAGTCTTGTCTTCAGTCTAGTCTAGTCTAGTCTATAGTCTAGTCTATAGTCTGTCTAGTCTATAGTCTAGTCTATAGTCTAGTCTATAGTCTAGTCTATAGTCTAGTCTATAGTCTAGTCTATAGTCTAGTCTATAATCTAGTCTATAGTCTATTCTATATAGTCTCGTTCTATAGTCTAGTCTATAGTCTAGTCTATAGTCTAGTGTATAGTCTAGTCTATAGTTTAGTCTATAGTCTAGTCTATAGTCTGTCTATAGTCTAGTCTATAGTCTGGTCTATAGTCTAGTCTATAGTCTAGTCTATAGTCTATTCTATAGTCTAGTCTATAGTCTAGTCTATAGTCTAGTCTATAGTCTAGTCTATAGTCTAGTCTATAGTCTAGTCTATAGTCTAGTCTATAGTCTAGTCTATAGTCTAGTCTATAGTCTAGTCTATAGTCTAGTCTATAGTCTAGTCTATAGTCTAGTCTATAGTCTAGTCTATAGTCTAGTCTATAGTCTAGTCTATAGTCTAGTCTATAGTCTAGTCTATAGTCTAGTCTATAGTCTAGTCTATAGTCTAGTCTATAGTCTAGTCTATAGTCTAGTCTATAGTCTAGTCTATAGTCTAGTCTATAGTCTAGTCTATAGTCTAGTCTATAGTCTAGTCTATAGTCTAGTCTATAGTCTAGTCTATAGTCTAGTCTATAGTCTAGTCTATAGTCTAGTCTATAGTCTAGTCTATAGTCTAGTCTAGTCTAGTCTATAGTCTAGTCTATAGTCTAGTCTATAGTCTAGTCTATAGTCTAGTCTATAGTCTAGTCTATAGTCTAGTCTAGTCTAGTCTATAGTCTAGTCTATAGTCTAGTCATAGTCTAGTCATAGTCTAGTCATAGTCTAGTCATAGTCTAGTCATAGTCTAGTCATAGTCTAGTCATAGTCTAGTCATAGTCTAGTCATAGTCTAGTCATAGTCATAGTCTAGTCATAGTCTAGTCATAGTCTAATCATAGTCTAATCATAGTCTAGTCATAGTCTAGTCATAGTCTAGTCATCGTCTAGTCATCGTCTAGTCGTAGTCTAGTCATATTCTATTCTCGTCTAGTCTATATTCTAGTCAATAGTCTAATCTATAGTCTAGTCTAATCTGCAGTCTTGTCCATAGTCTAATATATACTCTAGTAAATAGTCTAATCTGCGTTCCAGTCTGTAGTCTAGTCTATAATGCAGTCTAGTCTGTAGTCTAGTCTATAGTCTAGTTTGTAGTCTTGTTTGTATTCTAGTCTATAGTCTAGTCTATAGTCTAATCTGTAGTCTAGTCTATATTCTAGTCTATAGTCTGGTCTGTAGTAGTCTAGTCCATTGTCTAGTCTGTAGTCTAGCCATTGTCTTAATTACTCTTAGAAATACAATAGTTTTACTCACCATTTACCCAGGTGCCATTGGTTTTTTGTGGCATAAATACGCCATCAACAATTTCTTGCAATTTAAGACGTTGACCTTTGACTCTGGGCCCTTCATCGGGGGGAGTGAGAAGTACCTTTTATAAAAGCAAGAATTTTATATGACGTTTTCTACATAACCAAACATTTAACAAACAAAATATAAAACCAAACAAATGAATAATTTAAAATTAACAAAACCAAACCAAAGACACACACAAACATAAAATACAGTTTTGTTAATAAGTTTTTTTGTTTTATTTTTTTGGATTTAGCACAACAACCATAGACAAAAGAGGTTTTAATTTGAAGACAAAAAAAGTTATAAAAACAAATAGTTAATAAATGAAAGAGAAAAAAGGGGGGAAATGAAAATTGCAAAAAACATAACAAGTGCCTCAAACCAAAGAAAAATAAACAAAAATAGCAAAAATATTTCATTAAAACCAATTGTTTTTGTGTGTGAGAGAGATAGAGGAAGGAGAAGAAAAAAATATATACCACACATACGCAAATATTATTACAAAAATGAAAAAGAAATGTAAACCAAAGGACCACATTAGGAGGAAGAGAGAAAAGAGGGTGAGAAAGAGAGAGAGTGAAGGAAAACCATAATGAAAATAACAACATTTTTGACACACATTCATACATACATCCACATGATGGACATTCAATTATTACAACAATAATAATCATAATAATAAAATAAAAGTTTAAAAAGAATGAAAAAAGAAGAGACAAAAAAAGAAGGGCACACATAAACTTTATGACTAAAATAAAGGATTATTAATATATTTTTTGTTTGTTTTGTTTTAATTTGTAAAAAAAATATTTTCTAGTTTTTTATACAAATATTAGAAATATTTTCAAAAAAACAAATATTTTTGGGTTTAGTACATTGACATGCAAAATGTCAAAACAAATTCCACTAAAACATGTTCACTTTGACTTGTCCTCTTTTGTTATTTTTTTCTTTTGGAAATTTGTTTATTTTTAGTTAGTTTTTTGTTAATGGACATTCCGTGTTCTAAACATTAAGTAATTGTTGCTATTTAGTTGACCTCAGTGTTTGGTTTTTATTTATTTTGTTGTTGTTTGAGTTCCTTGAGTTTGTTGTTGTACTCACCACTGATGTTACAATTAAAGCTAAAACTATTGTTATGACCAATAAAGCAATGAATATACCACGCCAATTACGTTGATTTGGATTACCGGATACCAGCTGTAAATGCGAAAAGGAAAATGGGAAAATTAGTTGGAAAATTATGAATAATTGGATCTAGTTAGTTGTAGGTTTAATTAAATGTCTAATAAATATAATATTATGTATAGCATGCAAGTTCTCTGAAGAAACTTAACTCTAAAGAGAGATAGTCTAAAGATTCGACTATAGACTAGACTATAGACTAGACCATAGATTGGACTATAGACTTTACTATAGCCTAGACTATAGACTAGACTATAGACTATACTATAGACTAGACTATAGACTAGACTATAGACTAGACTATAGACTAGACTATAGACTAGACTATAGACTAGACTATAGACTATACTATAGACTAGACTATAGACTAAGACTATAGACTATACTATAGACTAGACTATAGACTAGACTATAGACTAGACTATAGACTGGACTATAGAGTAGACTATAGACTAGACTATAGACTAGACAATAGACTAGACTATAGAGTAGACTATAGACTAGACTATAGACTTGACTATAGACTAGACTATAGACTATACTATAGACTAGACTATAGACTAGACTATAGACTAGACTATGGACTAGACTATAGACTAGACTAAGACTAGACTATAGACTAGACTATAGACTAGACTATAGACTAGACTATAGACTAGACTATAACTAGACTATAGACTAGATATAGACTAGACTATAGACTAGACTATAGACTAGACTATAGACTAGACTATAGACTAGACTATAGACTAGACTATAGACTAGACTATAGACTAGACTATAGACTAGACTATAGACTAGACTATAGACTAGACGATAGACTAGACTATAGACTAGACTATAGACTAGACTATAGACTAGACGATAGACTAGACGATAGACTAGACTATAGACTAGACTATAGACTAGACTATAGACTAGACTATAGACTAGACTATAGACTAGACTATAGACTAGACTATAGACTAGACTATAGACTAGACTAGACTATAGACTAGACTATAGACTAGACTATAGACTAGACTATAGACTAGACTATAGACTAGACTATAGACTAGACTGTAGACTAGACTATAGACTAGACTATAGACTAGACTATAGACTAGACTATAGACTAGACTATAGACTAGACTATAGACTAGACTATAGACTAGACTATAGACTAGACTATAGACTAGACTATAGACTAGACTAGACTAGACTATAGACTAGACTATAGACTAGACTATAGACTAGACTATAGACTAGACTATAGACTAGACTATAGACTAGAATAGACTAGACTAGACTATAGACTAGACTATAGAACTAGACTATAGACTAGACTATAGACTAGACTATAGACTAGACTATAGACTAGACTATAGACTAGACTATAGATAACTATAGACTAGACATAGACTAGACTATAGACTAGACTATAGACTAGACTATAGACTAGACTATAGACAGACTATAGACTGACTATAGACTAGACTATAGACTAGACTATAGACTAAGACTATAGACTAGGATAGACTATAGACTAGACTATAGACTAGACTATAGACTAGACTATAGACTAGACTTATAGGACTAGACTATAGACTAGACTATAGACTAGAATAATAGACTAGACTATAGACTAGACTATAGACTAGACTATAGACTAGACTATAGACTAGACTATAGACTAGACTATAGACTAGACTATAGACTAGACTATAGACTAGACTATAGACTCGACTATAGACTACTATAGACTAGACTATAGACTAGACTATAGACTAGACTATAGACTAGACTATAGACTAGACTACTAGAGACTATAGACTAGACTATAGACTAGACTATAGACTAGACTATAGACTAGACTATAGACTAGACTATAGACTAGACTATAGACTAGACTATAGACTAGACTATAGACTAGACTATAGACTAGACTATAGACTAGACTATAGACTAGACTATAGACTAGACTATAGACTAGACTATAGACTAGACTATAGACTAGACTATAGACTAGTCTAGACTATAGACTAGTCTAGACTATAGACTGGACTACAGCCTGGACTATAGACTAGACTATAGACTGGACTACAGACTGGACTATTGACTAGACTACAGACTAAATTATAGACTAGACTATAGACAGACTATAGACTAGACTATAGACTAGACTATAGACTAGACCATAGACTAGATTATAAACTAGATTTTATACAATACTGTAGACAAGACTACCACAATAAGCTTTATCTGTGATCACTTTTACTTTTTCCCAAAAACCGACTTTTTTGCATGGAAAAGTCCATGAAAACTAAAAACCTTAATAACTCAGTAAATACTGGGTTTTTAAGGAAAATAAGCATAATCTGTGATCACTTTTACTTTTTTCCTAAAACCGACGTTTTGGCACGAAAAAGTCCATGAAAACTAAAAACCTTAATAACTCAGTAAATACTGGGTTTTTAAGGAAAATAAGCATTATCTGTGATCACTTTTACTTTTATCCAAAAACCGACTTTTTTGCATGGAAAAGACCATGAAAACTAAAAACCTTAATAACTTAGTAAATACTGGGTTTTTAAGGAAAATAAGCTTAATCTGTGATCACTTTTACTTCTTCCCAAAAACCGACTTTTTGCATGGAAAAGTCCATGAAAACTAAAAACCTTAATAACTTAGTAAATACTGGGTTTTAAGGAAAATAAGCTTAATCTGTGATCACTTTTACTTTTTCCCAAAAAACCGACTTTTTTTGTATGAAAAAGTCCATGAAAACTAAAAACCTTAATAACTCAGTAAATACTGGGTTTTAAAGGAAAATAAGCTTAATCTGTGATCACTTTTACTTTTTCCCGAAAGCTGAATTTTTTGTATGGAAAAGTTCATGAAAACTAAAAACCTTAATAACTCAGTAAATACTGGGTTTTTAAGGAAAATAAGCTTAATCTGTGATCACTTTTACTTTTTCCCAAAAACCGACTTTTTTGCATGGAAAAGTCCATGCAAACTAAAAACCTTATTAACTCAGTAAATACTGGGTTTTTAAGGAAAATAAGCTTAATCTAATCACTTTTTCTTTTATCCAAAAACCGACTTTTTTGCATGGAAAAGACCATGAAAACTAAAAACCTTAATAACTTAGTAAATACTGGGTTTTTAAGGAAAATATGCTTAATCTGTGATCACTTTTACTTCTTCCCATGAAAACTAAAAACCTTAATAACTTAGTAAATACTGGGTTTTAAGGAAAATAAGCTTAATCTGTGATCACTTTTACTTTTTTCCAAAAACCGACTTTTTGGCATGAAAAAGTCCATGAAAACTAAAAACCTTAATAACTCAGTAAATACTGGGGTTTTTAAGGAAAATAAGCTTAATCTAATCACTTTTACTTTTATCCAAAAACCGACTTTTTGCATGGAAAAGTCCATGAAAACTAAAAACCTTAATAACTTAGTAAATACTGGGTTTTAAGGAAAATAAGCCTAATCTGTGATCACTTTTACTTTTTCCCAAAAAAAACGACTTTTTGTATGGAAAAGTCCATGAAAACTAAAAAACTTGAATAACTCAGTAAATACTGGGTTTTAAAGGAAAATAGGCTTAATCTGTGATCACTTTTATTTCTTCCAAAAAAACCGACTTTTTTTGTATGAAAAAGTCCATGAAAACTGAAAACCTTAATAACTCAGTAAATCCTGGGTTTTAAAGGAAAATAAGCTTAATCTGTGATCACTTTTGCTTTTTCCCGAAAACTGAACTTTTTGTATGGAAAAGTCCATGAAAACTAAAAACCTTAATAACTCAGTAAATACTGGGTTTTTAAGGAAAATAAGCTTCATATCTGTGATCACTTTTACTTTTTCCTAAAAACCGACTTTTTTGCATGGAAAAGTCCATGAAAACTAAAAACCTTAATAACTCAGTAAATACTGGGTTTTTAAGGAAAATAAGCTTAATCTGTGATCACTTTTACTTTTTTCCAAAAACCGACTTTTTGGCATGAAAAAGTCCATGAAAACTAAAAACCTTAATAACTCAGTAAATACTGGGTTTTTAAGGAAAATAAGCTTAATCTGTGATCACTTTTACTTCTTCCCAAAAACCGACTTTTTTGTATGGAAAAGTCCATGAAAACTAAAAACCTTAATAACTCAGTAAATACTGGGTTTTTAAGGAAAATAAGCTTAATCTGTGATCACTTTTACTTTTACACAAAAATAGACTTTTTGTATGGAAAAGTCCATGAAAACTAAAAACCTTAATAACTCAGTAAATACTGGGGTTTTTTAAGAAAATAAGCTTAATCTGTGATCACTTTTACTTTTTCCCAAAAACCGACTGTTTTGCATGAAAAAGTCCATGAAAACTAAAAACCTTAATAACTCAGTAAATACTGGGTTTTTAAGGAAAATAAGCTTAATCTGTGATCACTTTTACTTTTTCCCAAAAACCGACTTATTTGCATGGAAAAGTCAATGAAAACTAAAAACATCAATAACTCAGTAAATACTGGGTTTTTAAGGAAAATAAGCTTAATCTGTGATCACTTTTACTTTTACACAAAAATAGACTTTTTGTATGGAAAAGTCCATGAAAACTAAAAACCTTAATAACTCAGTAAATACTGGGGTTTTTTAAGAAAATAAGCTTAATCTGTGATCACTTTTACTTTTTCCCAGAAACCGACTTTTTTGCATGAAAAAGTCCATGAAAACTAAAAACATTAATAACTCAATAAATACTGGGTTTTTAAGGAAAATAAGCATAATCTGTGATCACTTTTACTTTTTCCCAAAAGCCGACTTTTTGCATGGAAAGTCCATGAAAACTAAAAACCTTAATAACACAGTAAATACTGGGTTTTTTAGGAAAATAAGCTTAATCTGTGATCACTTTTACTTTTTCCCAAAAACCGACTTTTTTATGAAAAAGTCCATGAAAACTAAAAACCTTAATAACCCATTAAATACTGGGTTTTTAAGGAAAATAAGCATAATCTGTGATCACTTTTATTTTTTACC